GGAAGGCAGAGGCAGGCCGATCTCCGAGTCTGACACCAGCCTGGTCTACATGTAGAGGGAATTGCAGAACAGTCAAGCTACACAGAGAACTTTTGTTTTGAAGGAGAAAAAAAAATATAAAAATAAAATGAAAGAAATTGGGAGTAGGGAGACAAGTGATGGTATCCTTGCAGACTCCAGGGACAGAAGGGCTGTGACCCCCAGAGTTACACAGTACCTGTCAGGTGTGGCTCCGGAGCCCCCTGGCTGGATTAGCATCAGCAAGGTAAGTCAGATCCTGGGACTGCAGGAAGGAGCCTTGTAAGCAAAGTCACCACTGAGATTACCAAGACACATTCCAGAGAGGAGGGAAGCCCTCTTTAGGTTGTCACTGCTGTTAGCGCTACTTTAACTCTGCTTTGAAAACATCACAATATAAAACAAACACTAGAAAGGAATGAGTGGTTAATATTGTAAAACTATATTGCATGTATTTATGAAATTGCTGAAGAATAAATAATAATAATTTAAAGGAAAAGTATTGTATCTACACTATGAGCTCTCTTCGTAGCAAGTGTTGGGGATTGTGCTGGGGTCCTTGACTATCGCTTGGCAGAAGGCTTCCATCTTTCCTTTCCAGGCCCTCATGATTTCCCATCTTTCTATCCTGCCTCAAATAAAGAACTTATTAGTATAATAACAACATTATTATAGTAATTAATACACTAATCATATACAATATGTTAATGCATGATGAATTGTCATCACCGTTATTATTAATATTTTACGTGAGGGAAGATACCTTGGAACAGAAAGATGTCAGCTAATGAGTACGACATAGAAATAATGAAGCAGGAGAACCGGGCAGAGAAGTGCCTCTGGGGAGTCCACAAAGGCTGCGACATCAGCACGTGTAAAGAGTGGGCTGGCAGAGGGGTGCACCCACACACTGAGACAAGGGGGATGTTCTATCGGGAACTCACCAAGGCCAGCTGACCTGGGTCTGAAAAAGCCTGAGTTAAAACCGGTCTCGCTGAACATGGCGGACAATGAGGACTACTGAGACCTCAAGAACAATGGCTGTGGGTTTTTGATCTTACTGCATGTATTGGCTTTGTGGGAGCCTAGGCAGTTTGGATGCTCACCTTACTAGACCTGGATGGAGGAGGGTGGTCCTTGGACTTCCCACAGGGCAGAGAACCCTGATTGCTCTTTGGGCTGACGAGGGAGGGGCACTTGATTGGGGGAGGGAAAAGGGAGGCGGCAGTGGGGAAGAGACAGAAATCTTTAATAAAAAAAAAAAAAAGAGTGGGCTGGCAAACAGGAAGGCTGGAACTCCTAGCAGAATCTGGCTAAATCTGGCCCTGGCATAGGTGCAAAGCACTTGAAAGTATCTGGCATTGACCTGTGGTTCATTATAACACCACACACACACACACACACACACACACACACACACACACACACACACACGCACGCTCGTGCGCACACAGACACACACATCTACACCTACATCTGCATTCAAACAACATACACAGAACAACAACAATAAATTTAAAAGCGAATTCTAACACAATGAACACTTATTAAGCCCTTGCTCTTTTCCCAGCTTTAAACCCACATTTTCTAGAACTCTTACCCAACCACTATTCAGCATAAAAGACATTTCCCATCCCTCCTATACAGCCCTAGTGGTTCCTGGTTTTGCTTTATCAGATTATTATTCCAGAGACACCTCTGGAGCCACTTATATTAAAAAAAATACTAATAATCGAGGGCTAGAGGTGGAGTGACTCGGTGATTAAGAGTGTTGATTGCTCTTCCAGAGAACTGGTGTTCGAGTTCCAGCCCAGGAAGGTTCCCAAGGGACTGTAACTCCATTCTAGGGGATCCAACCAATGCCCTCTTCTGGCTTCTCTTGTTGGTGGGTGCACATGTGTGCGCATACACACGCGCGCGCGTACACACACACACACACACACACACAAACACACGTGTAAGAAAAGGAGAACATAATCTTAGCAGCCCTTTCACATGCGAACTAAAAACCACCAAAATGGTAAACATAGCTACGGCTAAAACAACTCTTGAGAAGCCCATGCTTGAATATATCCTACAGTTTCCCCAAGCACCTCACTTTCTCTCTACATCCACGGTTAGAATTTAAGAACATCTTTTAGTGGACGGCAACACTGAGAAGCCCACACCCACGCTTTCTTCACGCCGTACTGTTCCTCGAGCAACTTTCCATTTTTCATGATGGCTCCATTCATATTGGCTCATCCTGATTTTTTCTTTTTCCTCTGGGTTGTAGCCAAAACCCCTAAAAGGTTAAGAGAACTTCCGTGTGGGGCTGTACCTCTGCTCCTGCTCCTGTTCCCCAGATGCACGGTGGTAAGCAGAACTGTGTGCACTGGAGCATTTGCGGGAAGCCCATGGTATGCAAATGTGCCAAAAGTGCTGAGTGCAGGAGGTACAAACTGGTCAGCCAGTTTTAGGGCAGGAACTCAGGAATCAAGCAGCTCTAATTCTTACCAGAGGCCAGAAATATCTTTGGTTAGGACTTGGCCAGAGGCGAAGCATTCCGGAAGAGAGCGCCCCAGTTCCTTGTCTGGTTTCTTGTTCATCTTTCTCTTTCCCTTTTACACAAGAGATGAGCACCCCCACTCCTGTCCTGGGGACTGCGTGTGAGAAGCACCTGAACACCTTGTTCACGGACAACTGATTTGGTGGGCCTCAATTCTGTGTCCCCCACCAGCTGCCTTGCCTCACAGACAACATTCTATGAATTTCATTCTTTGAGTTGGTGAGACAAAGAGACACCACTGGGTTCCTTAACGCTGTGGATGAGAAAGCTTTTTTTTCTTTTCTTTTGACGGTGTCTAACTATGTAGACCTCAAACTCAGAGATCAGCTGCCTCTGCCTTCTGTATGCTGGGCCTAAAGGTGGGTACCACCAGCATGAATCAACATTCGATTTTCCTGCTTAAGCTTTGCCTTCCTCATCTTCCTCTTCTGGCCCTCAGAACTCAGCTCTGACCAAGGGCATTAGTCCCTGTCTGTCCCCTTTGATACACTCCCCTTTCACATCTATTGTGAGCTGGTGTGAATGAAAACTCCCGAGAAGAAGCCATGCCTGCAGATTGGCCAGTTAGGATTTCAGTGATGTGGAGAGATTGGAGTGTTGGCAGCCCAAGGGGCCAATTACCTTATCTCGGGCTAAACTTCGGCCATCCTCCTACCCTCCTTTGTTAATAGGCATTCCTTGCCCACCTCTGCCTGAACTTATGTGTTGTAACTAATAGACAACCTTTCGGAATCTATTAACTTAGCAGACCTAAAAGCTAAGAATGTCATCAGAGAGCATCTCATGCCTATAGGAAAGCTACCTCCCTGATGTCCCCACCACTGCATTTTATACTTGTCTTGATTTATGACTTTCCTCCTTCTGTGCAGCTTTAAAAGTTCATGAAACTGTTTCCACATCGGAACACCCAGTCTGCGATCACTTAAAATGATCCCTTTAAGAAAAGAGCTGTGGTTTTGTGTCTCCCTGCCTTCCCTTCCTTCTATGGCCAGGGCTAGTGAGTGTAGGCAGAGGGAACTTGGGTGGGAGAAGGTTGCCCGGCACTTACGTCTTCAGAGCCACTGCCCCTTCGAGTACTGTGTGCGGGTACAGGAACAGGTTTCTTTTCTCCACCAGTGGAACAGGACAAGTTTGAAAGTCAAGCAAGGCCAAAGTTTATGAAAAGGGGACACATTTTTTTAGAGCTTAAAAGAAAAACACTCCAAGCTGCAAATCTCAGCAGCTGCCCGAAGGAGGAAAATTGAGGAGAAAAGGAGAGGCCATTTGTGCTAAGCAGGTATAGGGGTCGGCCACACAGCTGCAGGCAGCTTTAGAGACTGAGCACGGAAGCCCAAAGGATGAGGAAAAGGCAAACAAACAGTACAACAGAAACAGGAAAAGCTGCAACTTTCTGAGTCAGGACAAGGCGGAACCTTATCGAGGCGGAACCTTATTGAGCCAAGCAGCAAGACCCAGACTTCCTCCTTTCCCATTCTGCAGTCAAACTACAGGTCAGGCAACCCCTCCCCTGCACACTGTCCTCTAACTCGCCTTGGGCTCCTGCTTCCCACCCATCCCCCACCCCACCTGACCTTTTGGGTTGTCCCACAGGGAAGGGACAGCTTAGACTTTAACTTTCAATATTCCCCTCACCACTGTCACTCCCATCCCAAGTCAGTGCTCACAGCCCCACTAGCCCTAGCTGGCCTGGGACTCATAGAGATCTATTTGTCTCTGCCTCCATTAATACTGTGAGGCGTAAATTCACAGACCCAAAGCATCATGGCCAAATTAATTAAAGCAAGCAAGCATTTAATTCTTTTGTTTGTTTGTTTGTTTTTTTTGAGACAGGGCTTCTCTGTGTAACAGTCCTGGCTGTCCTGGAACTAGCTCTGTAGACCAGCTGGCCTCGAATTCTCTGAAATCCTCCTGCCTCTGCCACCACCACCTGGCACAAGTAATTAATTAAAGCAATCTTTTTTATCCGCATACCCGGTCTGCCTCCCCCTGAGATGGGATTCAAGAGGTTAGCATTGGACATGGGCAAGATAAGGGTTTTTATAGCTCAGGGGAAGGGGGCTTCCAAATGGCGGATTTGGCAGACAAATGGGTGGGGTTACAGGAACAGCAGAACAACCTTTGAAACAGGGAAGACTTGGTTGCCATTTCCTGGAACAGGCAGCACTGAGCCATTCCTAACCTTTGAAAAGCAGAGGTTTAATCAAACAGGAATGAGCACATCTCTGGGATCTGTCTTCACGTAAGATGGCTTTGAAGCCTAAGATGGAGGCAGGCTGGTGCATGCTGCCACCAGTGGTGAAGCTAAGAGGTTTCTCTGGAACTTACGGCACTCCTTACCTTGCTGTCCTAGAGACCCAGCCCTTGGATCCCACCCTGACGCCGGTCAGAAGAAACGGGGGTCATGTCATTATTGTAACACAGCAGGGCTGTGACATCCCGCTCAGTGTGTCATCCCAGCCCTAGGGTTTTAGATGACATAATTTGAAAAGTATTCTAGACATCACGGGTAAAAAGTTTCCCTATAAAGCTGAACCACTAATTCCCTAGTCCCTGACTCAGCTCCTCACAATGTTACCAACAACGTTTTCTTTTTACAAAGAAACATTTGTAGGCATGGGAAGTTTATGTACCCAGGACAGAAGACGACACCAGTTCCGCAGGACTGGAGATGGCCAGTGAGCTGCCACACGGATGCCGGGAATGAAACCAGGTCCTCCGGAAGAGCAGCCAGTGCCAAGCGCTGAGCCATCTCCCCAGCTCCTTCAAGCTGTTCTTTGTAGAGTTCGCCTACTCTTCATAGAATATCTTTCCTGTCTTGACGCAGCTTTCCAAAGTTTACAAAAGATGAATTTGGGCCAGGTGTGAGAAATCCTCAACTTCAAGCCAGCGTTCTGTGAGGCTGACCGGGGCGGGGGAGGGGGGGTGATGGGGGCGGGGAGTAACTCACCTGGCGGCGGGGGAGGCGCTCTGCAGGAGCAAGGGAGGCTTGTGGGACGGAAGTCATTTGTTCTGGTAGAGCAGTTTAAGGGGCCGGTTTGTGTGGGCAGGAGTTTAAGAAGAACGTGTTTGGGGGAGGCGTAAGAACTAGTGATTCCCATTGAGAAGTGTGGTTTGCTGAGGCCCAGACGCAAGGGTGTAGCAGGAAGCCCCAGAGGGACTGAAGAATAGGCCTTTGGTGCCGCTTAAGTTTATATATATACCATATGGATACAAAAGCAATGTATATGAATGCAGAACAATTCCAAATATAACAACAAAAAGAACCCATTCTGCCAGCCAAACACATTCTTATGAGTTCTATAGGTGAGTTTAAGGTAGATGCTGTGTATTTGGGGGGGGGGGGGGACAGTGCCTGACGTTTTACAGGGAACATTTTCAGCTTGGAGAAGACCGTGTGATGAGCGCTATTGTGCCTTTCACCCAATCCACCACCTCTCTGACCGCTCACGCTCATGTACCCCGCACGTAACCTGTCAGTTTGCGTTGGACCGCCTCTGCCTGCCTCGTAAGAGGACCCGTGTTCTCTTAGACAGCATCACTGCTAGCCTGCGCGAAATGTTCCTCTTTCTTACTTTGCTAGTTCTTGTCTTTGCGAGGAGGAACCTGGATTGTTTATCTAGGCAGCCAGGGCAAAACAGTTTTGTACCTCGTACCGGGGAGATTAGATAAAACCGGACTCACTGAATATAGCGGACAATGAGGACTACTGAGAACTCAAGAACAATGGCAATGGGTTTTTGATCCTACTGCACGTACTGGCTTTGTGGGAGCCTAGGCAGTTTGGATGCTCACCTTACTAGACCTGGATGGAGGTGGGTGGTCCTTGGACTTCCCACAGGGCAGGGAACCCTGATTGCTCTTTGGGCTGACGAGGGAGGGGGACTTGATTGGGGGAAGGGGAGGGAAAGGGAAGGCGGAGGTGGGGAAGACACAGAAATCTTTAATAAATAAAAAAAAAAAAAAAGAAGGAGACTGAAAAGGTGTGTTCGGCAGCCCGAGACCGACGAGCCGAGGAAGGGTGACAGAAAGGATCTGCTGCTCAGACGAGGATGCCCAATATTTATTCCCGCCCCCGGAGGGAGTTCATCTCCGCTCCCTTTCTCTGGAATCTCTGGTGTCCTTCTCCGCTATTCTGACTCCTGAGTCAGTATCTGCCAATCAAGCGAATTTGACCTTTGGTCTCAGTAAAGTTCTGGAAAGGTGGCTTTTCATTGATAAATTGTTCTTTTTCCAGGCTTTGTAACCGACTATCAAGCTGATAGGCATGAGTGGCTTGTTGTCCAGGTGCCCTTACCTGGAAGCTCATGGCCTTCCCAAGGAAAGGGCTAGTTTCTCAGATGATCAGGCGCCTTGACGATCACTGTTACCGCCCAGGACACCTGACGGTTTAATGAAGAGAAAACGCCTCTCCAGCCTGAAATAATCCTACTGTGATGATTCTTTGTGCGGCAAAAAGATACGACTACAAATGGAGGAGTGTCTATGCCTTCTTGACCTGAATGGCAGGTTGCGGTTTTGTTTGTCGGTTTTAGTTTCTGCTACAGTATCTCACTATGCAACCCCTGTGGGCATGGAGATCACCACATGGATCAGGCTGACCTCACGGAAAACAGCCTGCCTCTGCCAGCTGAGTGCTGACACCAAAGCTGTAGCCCTGACTGTCCTGAAATTCCCTCGACAGACCCGCCTACCTGTCTCCGCAGTGCTGGGACTGAAGGTGTGGGCCACTGCCGCCCGGCATATGATTTTGCTTTTTTAGAGAAGATCTCACTGTGTAGCACAGGCTGACCTCGTAAAGTTAATCTCATATGTAACAACAGCATTATTTTGCCTATTCAGTTGCATCTTTGTGCCTTCATTATTAATCTGTTTTATGACAATGCTGAATGCTTTGAAATACTCCTGCTTCAGCCTCCCAGGACTATGGGCATGTAATACTATGCCCCTCACAGCTCCCATCCCCCGTTTCATGCAGCCTAGGCTGGACTAGACTCATCATGTGTGTGAATGAACTCGTGATCCTCCTGCCCCTACCTCCCCAATGCTGGGATCACAGCAACTGTGCTGTTCAGTTGCTTATTTGTTGTTTTTCTAACATGAGGTTGCGTGTCGAGCCCTGGAGTTGAGGAATGCCAGCTGCTTGTCTGGGAACCTGTATAGAATAAGATTGCCTTGAACTCCTCTCGTCCTGGCAGTTGGGGGACAAGGAACACCACAGACTAACAGCCCACAACCAAACTCACACAAGAGATTTATTGGGAAAGACCCAGGAGGGTGGCTTTCTCTGTTTGAGTGAGAAGCAACAGGGAACTGCGCAGAAGTCAGACTTTCTGCAGAGCTTCTTGGAGCATGGAGCTTTCCAGGGTGGTCTGGGATTGGTGGAATTTTTGTGACCTAATTCTGGGGCAAACTCGGGGGTTGATGGGATTCTTTTTCTTTCTCTTGGTCCTGGTCTTGAAGTCAAGTCAGGGTCAGGTTCTTTCCTTGGCCCTTTTACCCTGTGCAGCAAGGGGATGGTGTTATCTTTAGACTACTTCCTCTGGATTGGGGGCATGGAGGTTCTTGGGGCAAACTTGACCTTTCCATCAGGGCGTGGTTGGGAGTCAAAGGCCTCTGGCTCCATTGCCAGGAGCTGGTAATCCTGTAACAACACTGAATAAGTCTGGTTAGAAACCTTTTGGCCCTGCTGTTGAAGAAATCTAGACAAGAAGTTTACAAGGCAGGGTGTGAATAAGTCAGATTAAGTCGGAATAAGTAGAACAAGTAGGATTAAGAAAAAAATAATGGGAAAACTGTCCTCACTACTTGTCTGTCACCGGGAGGCGTGGGCAGGGACGAACTGCCCCCCTTTGCTGCCTCTGATAGACAGGGGAGCTGACCTGCTGCTCCCCTCCCCACTTGCTGCCTGTGATAGAAAGGGGGGGCTGACCTGCTGCCCCCCTTGCTGCCCGTGATAGACAGGGGAGCTGACCTGCTGCTTTACCAGCTACAGCACTCAGGAAAATGAGCCCTGATCCTCCACTGGGCAGCATAGCAGAGCTGACATTATTGACAAGGATGTGGGGAACTGGCCTGGGAACGTGAGCTGGGAGACCCTCATCTGTCCCACCCCTCATAAGTTGTGTAACAAGCAGGGGAGAGGTGCCCCCCCCACACCGCCTGTTGCTGGTAGGAGAGCTGGCCTTGAGGTCACAAAAGTGGGAGAGCTGTCCCTGTCCCTCTGGAGAGTTGTCCCTGTTCCTCTGGAGATTGTTCCCTGTTCCTCGGGAGATTGCTCCCTGTCCCTCGGGAGAGTGCTCGCTTCACCTCAGGAGAGTGATCCCTGTCCCTCGGGAAAGTGGTCCCTGCACCTCTGGAGAGTGCTCCCTGCACCCACCCGGGCAGCACAGTAGAGCTGGCTCTGATGATGCAGGTGTAGGAGAGCCGACCCTGAGTGTGAAAGGAGAATTGGCTCCACATCTGGCTCATCGCTGCAAGGGTTGAATTAACCCGGGCAACACAGGAGAGCTCACCCTGGTGGAGAGGATGGGGAGAGCTGAGGGCTGGCCAACCTTGCCCAGGCCCACAACCAGGGTAACGAGTTGGCGCACCCCAACATCTCCCCACCTATGATCCTGGCACATGTGAAGGGGAGGATCCTACAGACCCAAAGTTCAGGATCTCCGTGACACAGGGCAACAATAAAACCTCCAAGAGGAGTCTCAGTGAGGGCCCAGCATCAATAGTATAGCGGAAACCAGAGGCCTCGGGCCAGACCAATGACTCTGCAGTGAACACTTGCAAGCAAAGATGGTTTATTGTGTGACTCATGGTGTCAAACCGCAGCTTCCATGATGAAATTTTTCCCCCCTCAGCTTTTTTTTCCCCTTAAATTCTATTTATTTCATTTTGGGTGGAGGTTGCAAGGGCAGAGGGTGGATAGGAAGGGATGGGGAAATGAATGGAATCAAGACGCATGACGTGAAAGGCACAAAGAATATAAAGAGAAAATTAAAAGAAAAGAAAAGGAGGAGAAGGGAGGATAATTTCCATATTGAACTATCAAGCATCCACTGGCCAGAGGCACCAAACTGTTTCTTGTATTTGGAGATCCTTCTGGAATTGTTGGATCTTATCTTTTACTCTACCTGACAAAAACAAAGAACAGTATTTCTCCCTGAGGAAGAGGCAAAGACCACCCTCTCCACTCTTAGTAAATCTAACCCTCACCAGTTGTGTGACCCTATGGCAGCAGTGTGTCTATTTGGCTCTGGAGGGCAAGGATGGAGATCCTGGATGAATTGAGAGGAAAGCCGATGGTAGATACCTGGGAAACAGTTAGTCTTGTCCAAGTGGCAATGCCAGTGGTGACACACAGGACTAGTTCTACCGAGGACCTGAACCTTTGACATCTTAGTAACAGCACAGAGGGAGAAAGAACTCTGGAACATTTTTCTGCTGTAGGAAGGTTGCTTGTTCGTTCTTGGCTGCCCAGAACCGAAATAATAACACAGAAACTATATTATTTAAAACACTGCTTGGCCAATGACTCTAGCATATTCCTAGCAAGCTCTTACATATTAAATTAACCCATTTAAATTATTTTATATTTTACCGTGAGGCTTGTGGCCTACCAGCAAGGTTCCGGCTGGTGGCTTGCGTCTTTCTCCTCTGGAGGCTCCATGGCATCTTCTTACTCTGCCTTCTTTCTCCCAGCATTCAGTATAGTTTTCCCACCCACTCTACCCTACCCTATCACAGGTCAAGTCTGATTCTTTATTCATTAACCAATAGAAGCAACACATGCAGAAGGACCTCCCACACCATTTTTTATCACCTTAAACTACATTCTTAGACCTTCAGGACTTTAAGCTTTCCCACCCTTAGGCCTTTTAACACTTTCCTGGCCTCTCCTCACAGCTGTGTTTTCACCGACAGCCTCCTCTGGCTCTTTTGGGGTACCTCAGTCCTATCACACCATGCCACATCTCAGCTGCTCTCCGTGACCCCTTCCTGCCTTTTTAAAACTAATACCACCTAAGTGATTCATATTACTAAGTTTAGCTACCAGCCCAAGATACACTCTTGTATTACATGGAGGTGCCGCTTTAATACCTTGTTAAATAAGCGTTGGTTTTTAAATACCAATTTTTATAAACCCTGTTTCTATGATTTTTGCTTTCAGGAAAGGATTTATCATAGAAAAAATAGAGAAAACGGGCATAGAGGGTAAGCCCCCCATGAAGGAGAGATGGATAAGGGAGTTATAGGGAACTGTATAGGCCTTTGATAGCCTGCTACAGAGCAATTCCTGACCCTATTAGGATGGGCTGTTGGTCAGAGGGGGGGGTCTCTTGGATAATAACCGTCCATATGTAAGAGCTACCCTGGACAGGGTAGATGGAAATAGGGGGAGAGAGCAAGTTTAGATCTGAAGGATCTCTGGAGCATTTACACAGCGACAGGAGTTGCCATCACTGAAAACTAGTGTGCCAGTTTGGACCATTTGAACTGTACCCAGGTCAAACTGTTTGTAGTAACAGAGCAAGGCTTTAATAAAATCCGATCCATGGAGGAATGTTGTGATAGGAGCAGCGGGGCTGCATCCCCGGCACCCGGCCACCCACATGGCTAGCTTATGCCCCAAAACAATTTCATGGAAACTTTATTCTTTTAAACACTGCTTGGCCCATTATATCTAGCCTTTTCTTAGCTAACTCTCGCACCTGGACTAGCCCATTTCTAATAATGTGTGTAGCCCACGAGGTGGCTTACCAGGGAAGATCTTAACCTGCGTCTGTCTGAAGTGAGAGAATCATGGCGACTCCCTGACTCAGCTTTTTTCTCCCAGCATTCTGTTCTGTTTACTCCGCCTATCTAAATTCTACCCTATCAGAGGCCAAGCAGTTTCTTTATTACTTAACCAATGAAACAACAGATAGAAAGATGACCCTCCTCCATCAGAGGAAGAGAAGAAGGGTTGCAAAATGAACTCCACTGGAGGAAGTTTCTATAAGCTCCAAATAGGAGCTGGGAGACAAGAAGAAGCCCAGGAGGGCATAGAGAAGCTATGGGACTTCCAGGATGGAGCCGAGAGATGCCCAGAAGGGCTTAGTAGGATCTAGCAAGCAGCTCAGAGGTGGAGGAGGCAAGGAAACAGGGAGGGTTCCAGTGGAGGGAAAAGAGCAAGAGCCTTAATAACTAGAGTTGCTCACGTGGTGGGGCCTGGTGGGTGTTGCAGGCTCCAGGAGCCAGAGAGAGGTGTTTAGTGAGTAGGTGAGGAGAGACAGATTGTTAGAGCAGAAGGAAAGAAGAGGCAGCTGAAGAAGCAGATCTAGAATCTGTAACCAAATATGATGGTGGCAGAGGCCAGCAGAAACAAGTGATTCATACATACCTCGAGAGAGTCAAACCACCAACTCGAGTCGGTTTGAAATGAGCTGTGAGCATCCTCTACTGATGCTATTTGGAGAGAGACCTCTGGAAGGAGACAGTGTTTGGAGGCCCTTGGATGTTAGGAGGGGAGAGATGGTGAAAAGCCAGCACAGTAGTGGCTGACCTGAAGGTTAACCTTCTTGATTTGTGTCTAAGAAGTTTGGTTGTGGCCAGAGCAGGCAGACAAAGTGCCCACCCTTGGGTAGTATGGTCCAATTTTTTTTTGATATGTATTCAACAGGAGCAAAGGAAGGTGCCAGTGGGTGATCCAGGACCCTAAGGGCATATCCCTCCTTCTCTATGTCGTACAGTGAGAAGGGCTGAGTCAAATAAGGGTGTAGGGTTGGCGTCTGGGGGAGGGCCTGCTGAAGCTTATGGAAAGGAGAAGTAATGTGTACAAGGAAGGGTTTGTGTGAGGAGCCAAAGGCTGCCTCACATAGAGGGTGGGCAAGAAGAGAGAAAAACGGGATCCATGCGTGTAAGAAACCAGCCATCCCTA